TGTAGGACACTCAGGTGTCTCACCAGTACCATGTCTGCCTGCATGTCACCATGTCACACCATGATGGTAATAGACTAAACCTCTGAAAGTGTAAGCCACCCCAGTTAAATATTCTTCCTTTTTAAGTGTTGGTCATGATGTCTCTTCATAGCAATAGAAACCCTAAGAAGAAGTCGGTACCAAGGACTATAGGGTGTTAGTGTGATAGGCCTGACCATGCTTTTGTTTGAGGGAATATGGACCATAGGACTGTGGCTTAGAAAAGCAGTTGAACTCTTTAAATTCATGCTGCTTAATGGGCCATACTAGTGGGAGCATGGAAGACAGTGATGCTGAGTGTGGTTTAAACTGTGGGTGTTGGCTCAAGAGGTTTCAGAGGGGAAGAATATTAATATGTGGCCAAAGATTGTTCTTGTGGTATCTTGAAGAATGTGGCTGCTTTTTGCTCTTATCTTTCTGAGACTGAAGTGAAGAGTTTTGGATTAATTCCATTGGCAGAAGAAATCTTAAAACAGTCTAGTGTAGATTCTGTCATGTGGTTATTAGTGGTAATTCTAATGAACATTTATAATGAAAAGAAGCAAACTGAGCAAGGGAAATTACAAAATGTAAAATCTACGGGAACCAGGAAGTGAAATATCACTAACAACTGTGGTAAAGGAGATAAACAGATTAAGAAATGGAATAAAGAGAGTGATGATCTCAGGGCAAGATCTCACCCAGATAAATTTCCAACTTGTAAAAAGGAATTAAAGAAAAGTTTAGAGCAAGGTATACTGGTGTGAGCCTTTAATCCCAGTGCTGGAAAAGAAGAGGCTAGAGGATCTCTGAGTTTGAGGCCATCCTGGTCTAAAACAAGTTGAAGGTCAGCCAAGCTTAGGCAGTGAAAGTTACCGCAAAACCAAAAAGTAGGTGAAGATGTAATTAAACAAGGGGTACATGTTTCAGCCTCAGCAAGCAGTAGAACTTGGCAGCTTTAGCCATGAGATTCTGGCTTTAGAATTAAGGACAGAAAACAGGGACTCTACAATTTGCCTCTGCTAATAAGGAAAGACGTTGCAACCAGGTATGTGTCAGAGTTGTCCCTGAATGGAGGCCTAGAAATGCCACTGTGTGAAGCTCTGAAATTGAAACCTGGATTGCCTTGGAGGCCCCAAGGTATTGGGATTTCCCATGCAGGTATTCTGAGCCATGGAATACCTGCATGGGAAAGCTGGTCACAGGGAGTGCAACCAGTACAATCGTAAGAACTATGTTGCAGTCAACAAGATGAAAGGAGCTGGAGATTTGAAGAGTGTTTCCACATCAGACATGGTGATGCAGAGTTTGGAGTTTGCCCAGCTGGTTTCTGGTTTTGTTTTACTATTTCCTCACTAAGTTTCTTTCCCTATGTTTTGGAAGGGTAGTACATATCCTGTGCCATCTTATTTTGGAAGTATGTAATTGTAATCTGCTTTTTTATTTTGATTTTATAGGGGTTACAGTTTAGAGATTGCATGAATCTTAGAAGAAGCTTTGAACGTAAGACTTGTAAATAAGTTTGAGACTGTTATATGAGACTATTAGGACTTCTGAAGTTGCCTGAGTTGCATGTGGTTTGCATTATGATACAGCTACAAGGCTTTGGGGGTGGGATGTGGTGGTTTGAAGGGAAGTGGTACCCAAAGCACTATTTTGTCACCCATCTCTGTTCCCAGACAATTGGTCTACAGATCTCTGAGTTTGTGGTTTCTAGGACATAAAATTTTGTTTAGGGACTTATTTTCTTGTAATTAATTTCTCTAAAACAGACTTTAATTCAAGTATCACTTCTTTCATCATTCCCAGAGACAAGTGTTGTATGTGTGGCTCCTCTGCCACCTTGTTCCCGTTCCTCCTCATTATTCTATTCCAGTGTATTTAGGCAGCCTTCCTTATCAAGTCTAAGTCTCCTGACTATATGACTGTCTTTACCACATCTCTGCCCTTGCATCCATGCCTGTAGGCCCTGCTAGACATATTAGGGGCTGTGTGGACTACAAGGCTGTGGGATTAGGTGGGAGGAATGAGAGAAGCATTGTCCAGGCAGTTAAAACCCTAGAAGCCTGCTGAGTAGACAGTGGAGGCTTAGCAGGACACCCAGAGTAATAAGGTTGTCTGACATAGGGGGTTGGGATAGTTGCAGAGACACAGAGTTATGGTCCTGAGTCCTTAAAGGCTTCAGCATCCCCTGGGGATGTGCTAGATGTACAAACAGTTACTTACCAAGCAACCCAAGCCTGCAATCCTGCCTATTGGGGAGACTGAGATAGTAACCTACCCGGAATACAGAGTGAGTTCAAGGCTATCCTAAATAACATAATGAAACCTTATCCACAAATAAGAAGTAAAAGTGACCTAGCTCAGCGTAGTGGTTGCATAACCTTGTGCAATGGCCTAAGCTTAATCCCCAGTATTGTGAAACAATCAGCCTCAGTCCAAACCATGAATCAGAAACCATAGACAAGTGTCCCAGCTGGGCCCAATACAGGGACATCTCCAGGTGATTCCAATGCACAGCAAACTTTAAAAACAGCAAAAAAACATACAAATTGTTTAAATCACTGACAGAGGGATAACCTGGCTCTAAATGGAAAGCTGGCCAGTGCAAATGAAAGCATGGGGCGGCTGTAGAACCAGACTCATGGGGTTAGAATACTGCTCTGGAGTTGAATGGCCAAGTGTTCTGAGACTCATGAAACCAGTCCTATGGGTTTCCATCCTCCCATGAGGATTTGCCTGGATCTCAAAACTTTCATATGCCTCAGAATCTCTAGCGTGATTTTGGAAAAAAGATAAAGTTTCAACTTCTCACTTCAGAGAACTCTGTAGACTGGATATCAGGGTCATGCTGATCTGAGCGGTTTGTGCAGTCCCATGGGACTATGGTGTCATTCAAGTCAGAGCTGATGCCCAGAGCCATGTCTTCGTCCATGGTACTACAAGCGGCCACAGTCTGAATTGATGTCTGTGGTTCCTGTTGCCACTGAGGACTGTGCAGATGCCCAGGGCCTGGTCAGCCACTTGAGGCCATTTTAGTATCCTAGGGCCATGCTATCACCGAGACTATTCTTATCTGGGTAGCCTGTGCTGCCACAGAAGTGGGGCATGGTGAGGTCTGATCCCAAGCACTGCTGAGGGCCATTTCTGGGTCCATGGTCCTGCTGCGACTGAGATCTGTGTTGATGTCCATGACACATGTTACCACAGAGGGTCACAGGAACCATGTGTGTTGAAATCCGAGGGCTGCACTGAGCCAACCGTACCCCTCACTGGCCCTGGATCTTTCTGGACACTGTACCAAGAGAGCTGGTTCCATCCCTCATGGGAGAGCTGCCCATCTCATTGCAAAATGGCTCCACTTCTCATCACAGGCATGGGAGACTGACTTTGATCCTGATGGCACAGACCTAGGAGAGCTTGTTGTATTCATCCCTGAGGGGGGTAGTCCGAGTGCCCAGGACCTACCAGCTTAGCTACCATCCGGACCCACATCCTGGTCCTTGGGTTGGTCAACCCTAACATCTACCCCATCTATGACCTGCTGAGAATGTGAAAGTTCTGGTCTTGCAGAAAAGCAGCCTCTGGGACCACAGCACAATATTCAAGAAAAGTTTTGGTGAGGGTCCAGTAATATTGGAGTGACAGAGTGCTTGAACCAGACCAGTAACTCATTGCAAAGGACATTTTGTGGGTAGGGTTAATTGGACAAAAGTGTACCCTGTGTGACACACCATAACTCCCAATGCCAATAAGATAAATGAACAGGTGTTGGAAAGATGGAGGAGTGAGATGGCTTTTTGTTTTTAATTAACCTGGGATTGGGGGATGTTGCAGGGTGAGGGATTGGGAGGTGAGTTGGATTGGGGTGCAAGATGGGGAATTACCAAAGAATCAATAAATGATTATGTTATTTAAAAAAACTATCTATATTTAAAATTAAACCTGAATTGGTGATGATATGGGTAGGTCAAGCATCACTCTGACAGTGTTTAAGTAAAGGGTTTCTATAATGCCATGCATGCTTTGAATACTGGGTGGGAGTGTGTGTGTGTGTGTGTGTGTGTGTGTGTGTGTGTGTGTGTGTGCTATAAACATATTATATGTAACATGTTTAACCAAAATTAAAAACCAAGATTTAGAGCTAAGTGAAGGTCATAGCTGTAAATTGTCTTCTTAAAGAAAGTTAAATGTCAATGAAATCAAAGCATGAGTTCTCATTGGTGGCGCTCTTAAGTTCACATTTTGCCTCAATAGTTTTATATAAAGACAGGAAGATTAATGCCCGAGAGTAAGATGTACACCAGAGCAGTTTCAGCCCATGTCCTTCAAGGGAGCTTCAGGAATCAGCCCAGGACCCTGGAAATTGCTCTCTAGGCTCCTGAAAGCAAAGCAACAAAGACGGAAGGGAACACAGACGTAGTCCCTATAAGAGAGAAGTCCCATTATCTGTAAAGGTGACCTCTTCAGTAGAAGAGTAAACTTGTGAGTTTCAAAAGCATTGTTATGTTTTTATATGTGTGCTTAGCTTTTCTAAAGTGTTCTTTCTTAGAATTTGTCAAAAGTATTTGAAATTCATTCAATTCACCATGCTGTTTAGAAAGTGCAACATGGAAATCTGAGCAGATAGTATCCATTAACATCAATGAAATTATCTTCCACCATACTGGGCATGAGCCACATAGACATAAAAAATAGCATATGTGTGTGTGTGTGTGTGTGTGTGTGTGTGTGTGTGTGTGTAAGTGGTGTGTATAAGTGTGTGTGTATATGTGTGTGTATGTGTGTGTGTGTGTGTGTGTATGTGTGTGTGTGTGTGTGTGTGTGTGTGTGTGTGTAACAGAATCCTAATTGCCCATATAAGATTGAAATGGCAGAATGACCTGACTTAACATCTAGATAAATGTGTCTATGGATGTTCTTCCAGAACTGGTGCATGTATTTTTCTCCTGGAGTTACTTCATTCTTCTTTTGGGTTCCAGGCACAGCACTTGTTGTCCAGTGGGACCATGTTCACCTGCAGGATAATTACAACCTGGGAAGCTTCACATTCCAGGCAACACTCCTCATGGATGGACGCATCATCTTTGGATACAAAGAAGTAAGTGGCAAGTTTAAGATGTTTCTTCCTGTTGACCATGACTAATCCTTAAAATGTCAAGATATTGTTGTCAGGAACTTCAAATAGTTTGCTTAGTTTATTTTGCTCAATAAAAATACCTTTTTAAACGTTGTTTTGTACCTAGGGCTACAGGTTGAAATTTGGAGTTTTGTTTCATTTTATTTTCTGATATTATTGGCATTATGGCCCCCAAATTTATGAAATTATTGAATATTTATAGCATTATAAGAAAGGGCTAAGAAAAGAAACTGACTTCTTAAAGATTTTTTTTATCTCTCTATAATTATTCATATTTTTAGATTTGTTGGGGTTGGCCTGTTGATTTCTTATTTTACTCTGATCTCCAAATATTAGTTGACATGAAAATGGGTGATTTAGTATTAGGAGTGCCAGGAAAGTAACCCCTATAATTTTTCTGGCTAATGCTCATTAAAATCTGATAGATTTAGATTTGAGTAGATTTAAAATTATTAGGACCTTACTGACCAACGGAACAAGAGAACTTAAATTGTATCTTACTTCATATTAACAAACTGACAAATGGAATTACTAAATTGCAGTCATAAGCTCTGTAGAATGTTTAGACTAAAATAATAAAGCACTTGATTCCAAACTCTCCAGACAATATAATGGAGGTCTCCTAGATGAAGGATATACAAATAAAGTAACAAGGGCAGCGGATGTAAATTTAAGGCAGTTGGTGGTTACAAGAGTAATTCTGACAATGTAAATTATTAGTAGGTGTGGTTAAACCATAGTTAATGGGTAGTTGTAATACAGATCCATATCTTCCTTTCAATTTGAGAATTGTCTTTTCTTTTGATAAAAGAATCCCTAGTTGCCAAAAGGGTATGGATAATAGACAGGATTCACTGTGGTCATCTCTTCTGAAATCTATCTATGCCAGAAAGTGAACATTATAAAACAAACTAAATAAAGCAATTTTCTTAAAAGTTACTGATTATGTTGGTTATTTTCTTTCTCTGGAAAAGATTTTCCACACTGAGCTTTATTTCCTTGGGGCACTCTGCAGATGGAGAATGATATGAAATATGTCTTGATCTAAATTGTCCAGTGCTAGATCTAGATAACACTGCCCACTGCAGTCTTATGTCACCTTCCCTGGAAGATAGGAATAGATTTCTGAGAATAGTTCTTAGAGGGCTCATTCATACCAGGGTTTATTGTACCCTAAGAGATTTTCTGGAATGTCATTGTAACATCCAGGAATGGTAGTTTTCTATTGTTTTAATTATCACTGTTGGTTGAAACTGTTTCTGGAGAGATCATGGTCAGTAATTCTGCCGCCTTCCATCCTACCCACTGTCAACAATGTCAGACAGACGCTGTGTTCTTATCCTGGTCTTGTCTTCTGTGGTCACGATCTAAGTTGCCATCTTTATCACATGCTTCTTGAGGCCTGTCTCACTTTGCAGAGTTCAAGCAAATTCTTCTGTTCCCTCTCTGTTCTCAGTTGGCTTTTCAATTTTTTTCCATATTTGTCCATTTTATTCAAAGAAAATTTTCTTTTGTGGTTTTTGTGCTTTGCCATGGGGACTTTTATACTGACAAGCAGTTTGATATTGCCTGACTTCCTGGAATGGACTGGGGCAATACATCTCGGCTCTGTCCTGAGTTCACAGAGGTGCTTTGCTTGCTGTTATTTGCCTTTCTACCTTTTTTTCAGAGAACAGTTTCTTTCCTTTTATTTCTGGTAATTGTCATACATTTCTCTGTGTAAAATGTATTGTTAAAAGGGATGTAGCTCAGTGCTAGAATGTTTGTCTAACATAAGCAAAGTCCTAGGACCCATCCTCAAAAACAGAAGAAAAAAATGTTTCTGAATCTTATTTTGTAAAATTTTCCAAAATAAGAGTTTCCTTTGCAGAGCTAGGGAGATGGTTGATAAAGGTCTTACCATGCAAACACGAGGTCCTAAGTTTGATTCCCCAGATCCTGTGTTAAAACAAACAAGCAAACAAAAAGGTGCGATGGTATAAATTTATGAGTCTAAGATAGGAGAAGGGGAAACAGGCAAATTCCTAGGTCTTACTGGTCAACCTGTCTAGTCTATTTGGCAAGCTCCAGGCCACTGAGACACCCTCTTTAGAAAAATGAGGTAAATTGTCCCCTAAGAATAACATCTGCGGAAAACCTCTGACTTTCACACACACATGCACATATGTGTACCTATGCACATAAACTGCCATTCAGGTAGCAACTAGATGCTCCCTGTACTTCAAGAAAAATGTTTATGATTGCACGACATCAAAACAATAGTGCTTTGCAAAGTTTATCACCCTTTACAAAGTGTTTATGTACTATACAGCTACTCAACTAACTACACATGTAGTATCCGGCTATTCAGCTACACATGTGGCATCCGGCTGTTCAACTACACATGTAGTATCCGGCTGTTCAACTACACATGTAGCATCCAGCTGTTCAGCTACACATGTAGTTTCCAGCTGTTCAACTACACATGTAGAACCTGGCTGTTCACCTATAATTGTAGTATCCTGCTGTTCAACTACACATGCAGTATCTAGCTGTTCAATGATCCCTGGATACTATATAACTTCATTGTTTCATCAAAGCATCAAAACAGAAGAGGCATGCAATGAATGCTTTCATTAATTATGAAACTATGTAATACATCATTATTTGTAACAAGCATAGCTGAATCAAAAAATTAAATGATGTGCTTAAGACACACAATTAGATAAAGTGTAGTCTAGCATTAGATCTCTTTATTTGGTGCTCCTAGCCTCTGGATCTCCGCCCCCCCCACCTATGAACAACAACTCATAAACCAATTTATTTGTGTTTTCATAAATTCTCATCGATATTTTCTGTTAATAATCCTTTCTATTGGTCTCTACCACATTACACAAACATCAGCATTGTCAGTAGAGCTATTCCTGTTAGTCTGTAAAGCCATGCTTGAAACAAGATGTGTTGTAAATGATAAAATTCTATGTACCCTAAATCAAGAACGGAAATTGTAAAGAGAAAAGTAAGAACAATTCCCTCTGTCCTTACTTGCTTTTTACATGCTGAGGACAGCTTTGTTTGATTGTGTTGTGTTTGGAGTAAGGGAGAAGAAAAAAAATTTTCCTTGAATTTTACAAGTATCGGCCTTAGTTCCATTGCAAGTTAAATCTAATAATGCATTTCATGCAAAAATTGAATTCCATTGCTCTTGTTATTATATGATTCTTTTAGTGACCATTATGCCATGCATGCCAACCACTCACATGACCTCCATGTCTGCAAGCTTCCAGAATATTCATTTTCAACAGCATTAATTTTTCACAGTGCAGAGTAGATAAAAAATGATCAATAAATTAGAAAATTCATTTTCACCTCCCATAATAATCTTGCTCCTGATAGGACTGAATTAGGGAATTGCTGCTGCTCCGTAAACTGTGGATGGATATGGATTTGCTCGTCCCACTCACTGTTTCTTCAGCAGTGCCCAACTGTTCTCTGCAGCTGTCTCATGAGAGTTGAAGTAGCAACATAGATTCCTTCAGATAGTTCATTTTTCTGAGGTGGTAGGTTGCATTATTCAACCAAAGGTTTGAAATCCTGCTTTAAATTGCAGGTTCTTATAGCCATCTGGTTGCTTATTTTAGCTAACATCAAAACAATTTACTTGGGGTAAAGTCAAATTAGGAAAACCCATATATTTTTTTTTCAATTGCCAACTGCTGCTGAACTGTACTGTTCAATCTAGACGTATTCACTTTTTTTAACCTTTTACTAATTACAGACTTACCTGAAAAAATAAAACACCTTTCTAATAATACATCTATGTCTTTGAAAATGAATAACATCCCTTTCACAGTTTGTACTTACTCTTGTCTATAGTCTTATGAATCTCTTTGTATATTTATCCCTCATTCTTTTCCTCTAGATTTTCTCTCATCAGTCATGTCTTCTTGCATGCTAATTTCTGATCAAATGTTTGACCTTCTTTATGTAGTACTAAGTGATATGTTTGGAAATATGTTATCTTACTCTAGAGAACATTTACTTTCCTGGTTTTGCACTGGACTTTGACAAATACTTCACTCTCTCAGTGGAGATTTACTCAGATTTGAGGCTGATGGGCTGCTGTTTAGCCTTTACTTTAGGGCTGTAGTCTTTTAGCTATATCTAAAGGAGCCTGAATATCTGTATATCCTTTACCTTAGACTGGAAGCCACTTTTTCTCAGCAGTTCTATTATCTTTCCAGGCTCTCAGTCTGACTGACAGTTGTCTTCAGGGATAGTAGGAGTGGTTTTGTCTCTGTGGATGTTTTCCTCCATGTCTCCAGGTCTTGACCTTTCAAGCCATGAGATTCGATGGTCACTTCTAACTTTCTGGTTTTTTTTTCTTTTCATATTTAATCTGCTTTTCTTATTTGGTATTGGTAGTAGACATGACATAGAATAAGTTTATTTGTCATTTCTAGAAGTAAGAGTCTCAATCACTTTTAATAAAAATTCCAAAGTTGATTAAAAATCTGGCCTATTTTAAGCAGTTCCTATATGCTAGACATTAACCTCTATGCTTAAAATGATACCATATCTCTCACACAAAAACCAAAGGTACCTATTTGGTTTCGATAGTAAAGAAATCTTAAGTGTTCAGATAGGTTAAGTAACTTTCCCAGAATTATGAAACAAAACTTTAACACAATGATAGATCTAAGTACTTGTGTTACCCTGCTTCCTTAGAAATTCCTTATTTTTCAGTATTATTAGCTCACTTACTTGTTATTCTCAACTGTCTTTTTTGGGTGTTTGATTTCACATTAGCACTCGCATTGAGAAATAGGTAAAGAAAGCTTACCTTTCCACAGCATTTATCCAATTATTCACTATTATTTTTCAACAAGAAGAACCTCTTTGTAAAAAAAAAACCACATAGATAGTATAAGGTTGAAAAATGAAATATCTAATTCTTTTTCTGCTAATAACTAGCTATGATC